GTTTCAATGAGATGACGGTGTTTCCGTTCAGCGACCCCATTTTGCTCAGGAGTGTAGGGACAAGAGGTGTGATGAAGGACTCCTAAAGTTTGAAGGAAAAGGCCAAAAGCGTTATTTACAAATTCTTTGCCATTATCACTTCGAAAAATTTTGATGTGAGAATTAAACTGAGTTTTAATCATTTTTTCAAAATTCACAAAAACAGAGTAAGCTTCAGATTTATGTTTTAGGGGATAAATCCAGGTAAATTTGCTGAAATCATCAACAAAAGAGATATAAAATCGAAAACCGCTACAGGCAGGAACAGAGGTGGGACCCCAAACATCAGAATGTATTAATTGAAAGGGTGCTGTGGCCTTATGTTCAGAAAATTCAAAAGGTAAACGACAGGACTTAGAGACATAACATGATTCACAATGTAAAGGCTCTGAAAACTGAAAACCTAAGGAAGACAAAATAGATTTGGCAATCGTAGGAGCTGGATGACCGAGTCTACGATGCCAAGTGGACTCTTGGATAGCTTGATACGCAACGGTTGGGAGTTTTGAAGGAAGTGTGTATAACCCATGCTCACAGAGGCCCTTGTACCGCACCTGGTTGGTAGGATTGACCACTATCTGGAAATCATTGGCATTAAAAACAAGGGTGCAGTTGTTATCTTTGGTAAATCGATAGACAGACAATAGATTGGAGGTAAGGGAAGGGACATAATGAAGAGTAGAAAGGTGGTATTTACCATTAGGAGTATGGACAAAACCTGAGCCAGAGTGTGTGATGGGTAGGGATTGACCATTGCCAACGGTAATAGCATCAGTACCGGTGTATTGATGAGGAGATTGTAGCTGAGAATAATCAGACGTGACATGGGTGTTGGCACCAGTGTCCAGATACCAGTTTCCAAAATTATTACTCATAGATGCATGCATTGCACGGGGAGCACTGGAGGAGGAGTTCGCAGTATAAGAATCATCAAATCGATACCAACACGCAGACTCAGAGTGACCTCGTTTCTCGCAGATTTGGCAGGTTGGCAGATCCTGTGACGGTCGACCGTTTCCCTGGGACGGTCGACCGTTGTTCCTTTCTCCACGTCCGCTGTTGTATCCACGTCCAGGTGACGGTCGACCACGGTAGCCTCCTCTATAGTGACCTCGACCGTTTGTAGCGAGAAGTGCTGTGCGAGGTTCGGTGATGGTAGACTCGGTGAGGCTGAGTTTATTCTCCATCTTCAGGTTTATTTCTTCAGAGATCAGCCATCCAGAAAGCTGATTTAACGAAATATTAGTATTGTTCATGCGAATGTTTTGCTTAAAGGATGAGTATTCGGTGGGAAGACCACGAATAACAGCATTCACCACATCACGTTCAGGGATCTCTTCTTTCAAGGCATCGAGATCCGAGAGAATAGTTGCCACATCATCAAGGTATTGTGTCATAGTTTTGGTACCTTTACGAAGAGTGTGGAGTTTGTCCCGAAGCTGATAAACATGAGCGGTGGACAC